CCACCGGAATTATTCGTCACAATGATTTTTGGTGACCACAGTTCATATTTACTTTGGACACCACTGTTTCACACCCAATACTATAATCGTCAGGCCGCTTATTTGACACGTTCGTAATGATTAGGTATAAGACGTTCACTTTTTCTGATAATTAGGTAATGGCAAACAAATCTCTATCGGAAATATCTTTACAATAAACAATAAGACCCGATGATTAGAGACAGGTCTCCGAAAAGCTAAAAGTTGAATTTGGCACTCGGAGGTTTGACATTGTCTCTAAAGGGAAGAATACAAATAAAAAGTATTTGTGTGATTAAAGATTTTTTCACTACTAACAAATTTCAAAACAAATTAGATAACCTGCTTACTATATCGGTAGTGCTGTCACAAAAAAAATTTTTAATGTCTACGAAATTCTAGATCATAAACAATCGCTCGGGTAAAGGTTTGAGCGCCGATGAGACCTGAGATTTTAAAATATTATTTTTATTTCGAGGATTCCATTTTCCAAGCCTCTAAAAGATTTTAAATACTTGCTCACACTCGACAATAAACGATCACAGTTATATGACTTCAAATAAGTGTTCGTCAATGTTTGGCCGCGTTATAGAGAAAATCCTTCATAAGACATCAAAAACCAAAAAGACAAGATGAGTAAGTTTTTGAGTTTAAAAAGTGACAAAAATGGAGCATATTTTTCATAAACACAGTGATGGCAACAGCACTTGGGATCTGCCTGTAAGAAGATCTGCGTTTGATCTCTCTGATTATAATATTATTTTCCTAATCTGCTATGGGCGATTACTTAGTCAGCTAAAAGACTTGGTCGAAATAGAGCGATCAAGAAGTAAGACTATTTTGATACTGTTAGTTCATTTTAATTTTAGTTTTAGTTTTAGTTTTTATTTTAATTTTAATTTTGATTTTAATTTTAATTTTAATATTAATTTTAATTTTAATTTTAATTTTAATTTTAATTTTAATTTTAATTTTAATTTTAATTTTATGTTAATTTTAATTTTAATTTTAATTTTAATTTTAATTTTAACTTTAATTTTAATTTTAATTTTAATTTTAATTTTAATTTTAATTTTAATTTTAATTTTAATTTTAATTTTAAT